AGTAGCCATGATTTTTGTGTCCTATTCAACGCCCCAGAAACACCAATGTTGCCTGCTGAGCAGTTGATTGAGCATGATCATAAGACATCAGCGCATTGAACCATTGATAACTTTCGATCCTTGCATTTAATCAAAAAGTGGTCTTCAGCAAAGTTGTAGCTGGGAAAATTTCCCTTCCTGAAAGCCGATAGACCGATATGGTGAATAATTGGATAGACATTAGACTGATGCAAAATTTGAAATTTTCGCTCCACAGTGCTCAATCGGTTCCAAATTGGGCCGTGATTAGCCTCCCAAAGCTTGAACTCATTTAGTGAGAAACTGACTTGGCACAAACCATTTGAAGTTTATATGGAAACTACTATGGGAAAACGAAACTTTTTGTTCATTGTCTTCCAGCCTTTTTACATATTGTACTTTTAACAAGTTCTATTGCTATTCTTATGGGAATTTTTATCAGCTACAACTTTGCAGAAAATCGTTTTTCAGCCAAACGTCAAATTAAATAGTTATTAAGTGTTTAAGAGATTGATAATCTTATGGCAAGATTAAGCAACTGTATTGTGGGCAACACTGTATTCTGCAGTGTGACATAGTAGCCATGATTTTTGTTCTCTATTCTAAGCGCCATAAACACCAATGTTGCCTGCTCAATAGTTGATTGAGCATAATCATAAGACATCAGTGACTTGAATCATTAATAACTTTTATTCCTTATATTTGATCGAAAAGTGGTCTTTCACAAATTGGTAGCTGAGAAAATTTTCAACAAGCTCAGTTATCATTTTTTAAAGTAGAGTGAACTGGTGAATTTTGAGATAGATATGAACCTAAATTATGGTTTCTCCATAGTAATTCCCATATAAACTTCAAATGGTTTGTGCCAAGTCAGTTTCTCACTAAATGAGATCAAATTTTGGGAGGCTAATCAGGGCCCAATTTGGAACCGTTTGAGCACTGTGGAGCGAAAATTTCAAATTTTGCATCAGTCTAATAGACATGAACAAAAATCTTGGTTTTACCATAGTAATTCCCATACAAACTTCAAATGGTTTGTGCCATCTCAGTCTCTCACCGAATGGGTTCAAATTTTGAGAGGTTAGTCAGGATCCAATTTGGAATCGTTTAGGTATTGTGGAGCGAAAATTTCAAATTTTGCATCACTCTAATGCGCACAATACTTATGAAACGTTCCATTATATAGCGATTTTGTAGCCGCTTTGCCTTATGCCCCGTAATGACTATGGCCTATATTATATAATATAGGCTGTCTTGCAATGAGCACTCATACATCTAGTTTTCACTGGAAATTCTATATGTGAGTGCTCATTGCAAGACAGTCTATATAACATGATATAAGCCATAGTCTGTACGGGGTATTATATGCTGTTGTAGTTACACTTTACTATTACCGTTGCGAGGCCGTTGAACCTGGTCATTTTCAGCGAAAATTGTAGTTCTATTTTTTCAAATTTTAACCTAAATGCCAAAGCTAATATGATCATTAAAAAGGTTTAAAAAATATGTAACGATTGGAACAAAAGCGCACAAAACTATTTTGACAAGCGAGTACAGGATTGTTAACGGAATAACGACTTGTGCAAAGGATTGAGCATGTCAACCCTGCCGCAAAGTACCAGTCGGGGTGACAGGAAATGATGCCGAACATTCAACACAAATATGATATCATGGACAAACCCGAACTTATTGCAACGCACAGAAACTGCTGTAACTTTTTAACGACGGTAACAAATGACTTGAAATTTTCAGAGAAAATTCTTAGACGAATTCTTAGTAAGGCAACAATAGACCAAGGTTCAATGGCAAACTAATATCTACTTTTCAATTAGGAAATCCAAAAGCTGTCTTTAAACTTTGTACAGTTGCTAAAAATTCCATCCTCAGAATTCCTTGAGGTTCTTTTCGAAATTTTTAGAACTCTATGAGCTCTTTTGAAATACTTCTCAATCTGAAATTATTTTTAGAACTTCTTGACTTTTACTCAAAACACCTTGGAACTAAAATTCCCTTAGAATTTCAGAAGAATTTCCTCAGTATTATCCAGAAATTATTCCCGGAATGAGCTAGAAATTATCGGTACTCCCTTGAAATTTTCCTCAAAATCCCTTTGGAATTTCACTCAAAATTTAATTTTCTCGGTATTCTTTTCGGAATTATCTTGGAACTATCTGCAGGATTCACTAGAAATTATTCGTAGAATTTTCTTGGAATACTCCCCAAAAATCCTTTGGAATTGTCCTCAGAATGCAATATTCTTGAGGTTCTTCTCGGATTTTTTAGAACTCTTCTAAGAACTCTTTTGAAATTCTTCTCAGAAGTCCACTGGAACTATAGTTAGAACTCTTCATGATTTTTTTTTTCATAGCAGCTTGGAACTTAAATTCCTTTAGAGTTTCAGAAATTTTTCCCGGAATGAGCTAGAAATTATCCTCGGAATTCGCTTGAAATTTTGCTTAAAATCCCTTTGGAATTTCACTCAAAAATTGATTTTCTCGGTATTCTTTTCGAAATAAGATAGTTCCAACTGCAGGATGCACTAGAAATTATCCACAGAATTTTCTTTGAATTCTCATTCCCAGAATGAGCTTAAAATTACCCTTGGAATTCCCTTGAAATTTTCCTCAACATCCCTTTGGAATTTCATTCAAAATTGGATTCTCTTGGTATTCTTTTCAAAATTATCATTGAACTATGCAGGATTCACTTGAAATTATTCGCAGAATTTTCATGAAATCATCCCCAGAAATCTTTTCCTTTGGAACTGTCCTCAGAATTCAATACCCTTGAGGTTCTTCTCAGAAATGTTCAATAAAGCTTGCCCCTCCATTCACAAGAACTGTGCAATTTTTACATAAGGAATTTTCAATTCAACTTGCCCCTCCATGCAGCAGATTGTTGCAAATCTTAAACCAGAAATTGTCAATACAAACTTGCTCCTAGGTAATTTTAAACCAGAAAATTTCAATTGACCAGAACGATGCAAGTTTTCCACCGTTAATGTTCAACAAAAATTGCTTTTCCAATCTTATGCTTGGTGCAGATTTCCTTTTTTCCATTTTCACCAGACATTTTTAATATAGCTTGCATCTCCTATCATCAGAATGTTGCAGGTTTTCCAACAAATATTTTCAGATTTTTCATCATACATTTTAAGTAAAGCAGTTTCCCTCCAATCATCAGAATGGTACAAATTTTAAACCAGAAATTATTATTAAAGTTTGTTTCTCTATTCAGCAGAAGGATGCAAATTTAATAACAAAAATTTTCCTTAAAGCTTGCCCATCCGTTCACCAGAACGGTGCAGATTTTCCACCATAAATTTTAAATATAGCTTAATTTTAAATAAAGCTTGTGCCTTCATTTACCATACCCAGTGCAAGTTTTTCACCAGAAATATTCTGTTCATTTCATTTATCAGAGCGATGCAAATTTTGCACCAGAAATTTTCAACAAAGCATGCTCCTCCATTCATCAGAACGGTGCACCAAAAATTGTCAGTGAAGTTTGATTCACCATTCACCTTTGTGGTGCAATTTTCAGGCTTTGCCTCTTCATGCACCAAAATGGTGCAAATTTTCCACCATAAATTTTCAATGAAGCTTGCATTCATCAGAACGATGCAAATTATGCACCAGAAAAATGAATAAACCTGGCATCTACATTCACCACAGTGTTGCGAACTTTCCACCAGAAATTTTCAGCATGATTCAATTTTTCCATCAGATTTATTCATTTTGATTAGTCCCTCCATGCACCACCTTCATGATATTTTTACACCAGAAATATTCAATAGATAGCTTTTTCTTCGATGTACCACCACGAGGGTGAATATTTTAAACCTTAAATTTACCCTCTTCTTTTAACCCTCCATGAACTACCTTGGAAAAAAAATACACCAGAATTTTTTGAATGCGTCACATATATGCCACACTTAACAAAAACATTTCATCGAAGTTTGTCCCTTCATGTACCTTTGTGGTGCAATTTTCAGGCACCATCTCAAAGGAATTGACGCTATAAAAGGTTTCCAGTGCCCTTATATTATGAAATGAAATTATTTTACCTTCAAATCAAGTTATCAAGAAAGTTATTTTATGTCATAATTTTGTAAACATGGCAATAAAAATCTTATTTATAAAAGGTGGGGCAATTGCCCCACCTTGCCCCACCCTGTGCACGCCAGTGGAATTCAAGTAAGAGCTTGTATCCAAGACATATCGTCCAGGATTGGCTACATGGAAACCGACAGAGCAACTTCTTCTTTCCTTTATTTAACGTCGGTCTCTGTTCCGCAATCTAGTGCCAATCACCGACGGACATCGATTGCCATCTATTGACGGCAATCGAATGTGCAGGAAAGCAGCTTCCACACCTGCGTAGGATCTCGCACCCATTCAACACACATGGGCCGGGACCAACGGCTTTACTTCCATTCCGAAGGAAGACGTGACCAGAGATTTTTATGCCTCAGAAAAATCACACCGACCTCGGCTGGGATTGAACCCAGACCCATCGGGGTGATAGAAAGCAGTCACGCTTACCACTACACCACCGGCGCCGGCCAATAGAGCAACTTAAAAACAGAATTCTCAAATTGCTTCCGAATTTCAACCTATCGAACTTTTTCAGCGAAAACGATTTAAGAAATAAATTTATTATTTACTTTACTTTTGCTGCGACATCAAAACTACCTTTCGTAATCATACGTCAAATCTACGGTCGTGTCTTGGATACTTATTACTTTTTTTAATATAGGTTCTAATTTCGTAAAAATCAACACTTTTCAACTTTCGGCAAACAAAGTAAATCACCGTAACTGTTTTTTTTTTTTTTTTAAACTAGTGACATCTGTTGCGAAAATCAACCATGCTGATAATCTATTCCCAACCGAAAACCCAAAAACCCATCCTCCCGAAAGCAGTTAAACTGTACAAAACCCATCACCAAAGGCATCACGTATTTACCGAAAACCCTCTTACCTCATCAGGTCCAGTTCCTCTCGTATCTCGGCGTTGGTGAGCTGCACCGAATTTTTCCGAACGTACTTTTTCAAGCTGTTCTCGAGCATTTTGTAATCCTCACGTCGTTGATTGGTGAGCGTATTCAGTTGCTTGGTTAGCAACCGAACCTGATCCTCGAGCGACAGGACCGGCACAATCGATTCCCCATCGAAAGGGTCCGTAGATTTATCCTCGAACCGTGGGAGGTTCACGTTGGTTGCCCGGTTTACATTGCTGTTGTTGCTGTTGTCGTTATTACTACTGACCGGTCCACCAAGGGCACTCGTAACCGATAACGTTATTAATCCTAGGATAATCACCAGCCTCGGTAATAAATTCACCATTTTATTTAATTTATTGAACATTTGTTTGCCAGATTATATATAGAACGTCTATATGTACTCCTTAGAAGAAGTGAAACGATTATTCTTTCCCTCCTGCCTGGCAAAAACAATTTCTACTCGTTTAGCTGGCCGTTATTTATCGACTGAATCCAACAGGAGAAACACACAGGCATACAGAATTTTCACTCCCAGCAGGCAGCACCGAGCACACAGTTATAAACCGCAAAGCGGAGAATGTGAATTTCCCGCACGGAAGAGGGTTTGCGATTTTCCGGTCGATGCGATGCACAATAAATTTTCAATTATAACCCAAATTTGTTAATTTTTCCTGTATCGTGTTGGTTCGCAATGATTCATAAAATACTACACTGCCGGTAATTTGCACTTTCACCACATTCGCGACCGAGCAGGACTTCGTGTCACGTTTTTCTGTACTTTATTTTCCGCACTTTGGGCAACAATACACGTCAACTTGCCGCAATTATTCCAATAAATTTGTGCATCCGTTGCCGCTCAGACTGCGACCAATGAATAAGTAAATAATCGATGCTACAAACTCAACACTCTCGACGAACTCTCTTAGCCGGGAAAATGTACAAAATTGCTCGTGTAGAGGGGACAATTTTTTTGCTCCGTAGTCACTTTTTATAAAGTTGTTTTTTTTTTTACACTCCAATCAATGAATGATCGAATGACAAACTAGTATGTTGTAGGTAAACGATGATAACCGGGCACAATCGCGACAAAAAAAAATAAATCTGACATACGCTCTACTCCCACGCGAATCCTTCCGGCTGAATGCGGCTAAGCCATAAATAAGTGATTAGCGGAGGGACAGAAAACACGACGCACATGTGCACAATCCAATCCACGAGTTGATTACGGCTCAATTCCTTTCTGCACCTTTAGCCAGTGGTATTCCCTGTTTGCGCTAGCGGTGTGTCACGGAACACTCACTTGCACGTTTTCACGAAACGATTCACGGTTGCAAAAACACGATCCTTTTTCTAACCGTCCACCGTATAGTTAGATAACGTTACTTCATTCATTCATAAATATTTAATTCACACTCCAAGCGACGAGCATCAGTAGCAGCAGCAGCAGTACGGCGAACTCTTCGTTCGAGGAAAAATCAATAGCGAAAGCGCACCGAGCAGAAAATATCTACGAATAAAAAAACTCAGCACATCACATCATGTTCCGTGTGTGACGTTCCTGAAATTGCCACTATTCCATCAGGAGTAGTGATCCACTTTCGTACTATTTCACGCACTATCACCTCCGTCGTCCGAACACAGCTCAATTGACACAGAGCAGCCAATCAACGCAGCACTACACACATAGAACGGAACACTACTGTTATCACATCTAACGCATTCAGCGGAGTATCCTTCCAAACGAGCGGGGTATCCTTTTTACGCAACGGTTCCAACTTGAACTGACTGCTAACGAGTCCTTTACGATAGCTTTTATACAGCGCTCTCACCGAAAGTGCATTTCCATACACTGTTATGCTGGTTCTGGCAAGTGGCAAGTGGCAGACGACTGTGTGGGAGATAATGCTCTGAGAGAGATCTATGCTCACGGTTTTATGCTCCAGTCGGCACTTGGTTGGAGAGGTGAGAGTGGAATAACAACATCGCACGAGTGGCGATGTTTTCCGCTCTCCCACATGTGGGACTCGGTCACTGGTGAGGTGACTCACTTTGTTTTGGTTTGGCAGGTGCCTCTTGCGTTTCACAAATAAAGGGTGGTATGTATGGGAGAAGTAGATCTAGACTGGGTGGGATAGGAGGATGACGTTTCAAGAGCGTCTAGTGGTGGCTCGAATTGTTTTGTAATGTTTAGGATTGCATCATTATTGAACATTTGAATCTTTTGACATAGACTACGTCTTACGGGAAGGTACTGGGGTTAAATCTAAAATCTAAAATTGCGACCGTCACGAAAAGGTGTAAGGTTTTGAACGCTTATAACTTTGTCATTTATAGATGAAATTAAAGTTAAAATATACGAATCGATAGTAAATAGCTCTCGTAATGTGTTACAATAAACACTTTTTCAATTTTTCAAATGTAAAAATAAAAAGTGATAATTTTATCAATGTTTTCATGAAATAAACGTTCTCCCCAAACCCAGTCGTGATAATCGAGTAGCATTTGGTGGCACATCGTGCTGCTTGAATTTGAAAAAGTTATAAAACTGCGCTGCTAATGTGCCTCAACTCATCTGGAAGGTGGCAAAAATCATCCCGATCCGCAAACCTGGGAAAGACCCTTCACTACCGTCAAGCTACAGACCGATTAGCCTGCTCTCAGCGCTGAGCAAGCTGTTCGAAAAATTGATCCTCAGCCGACTAAACAAGTTTGTGGAGGAACATGACATTCTTCTTCCGGAACAGTTCGGGTTCCGCAAGGGGCATTCCACCAATCATCAGCTAGTGCGGGTGATGAATAACATCCGAAGTAACAAAGCTGTATCCAAGTCCACAGCCATGGCTTTGTTAGACGTCGAAAAGGCTTTTGACAATGTCTGGCACGACGGACTTATATACAAGCTTTGTAACTCTAACTTTCCACCATACCTTGTGAAAATCACCCGTAACTACCTCCAGCAAAGGTCGTTCAGGGTGTCGTTGAATAGTTCCCTTTCGGGACAGTTTCCGATCCCAGCAGGTGTTCCGCAAGGGAGTCTGCTGGGACCAATGCTTTACAGCATCTACACGTCGGACATCCCTCCTCTAGGAGACGGTTGCGTGTTCTTCCTGTTCGCAGATGACACCGCGATAGCCGTCAAGGGTAGGATGCCTCGTGAAATTACGAACAAGCTCCAACGATGCCTTGACACCTTTACTGATTATGCCACCACGTGGAAAATCAAAATCAACGCCTCGAAAACCCAAGCGATCATGTTCCTTCACAGACAATCACCAAAACTTAAACCGTCTCCCTCCTGTACCGTAATAATGGATGGTACAAGGGTCGAGTGGGCCACTGATGTTACTTATTTCGGGATGTTGTTCGATGAGAAGCTCCTGTTCCGCTCGCACATAGAGAAAACCCTAGTTAAGTGCTCCGCCTTGGTTAGGTGTTTGTATCCGCTCATTTGCCGCAGATCCCGCCTCTCAAGGCAAAACAAACTGGCTGTCTACAAACAGATCATAGCCCCCGCGATCTTCTATGCCGCCCCGGTGTGGGAATCGTGCGCTCAGACCCACAGGAACAAAATCCAGGTTGCACAGAATAGAGTGTTGAGGATGATCCTAGATCGTCCATTCGACACAAGAATAGCAGACCTCCATCAAGAGGCAGAAATTCCAAAAGTAGATTCCAAAATTGATGATATGACAACCAAATTTATCCAAAAATGCAATCTTTCTGAACATGCTTTAATAAGCAATTTGTACATAGTAGGTTAAGTGTATATAGTAGAGTAGGTTAGTTTTAAGCTGTCAATAGTAGTATTAAGTAGTTTCTCTTCAAATTCTAAAAGCAAAACAAACCAATCCCACCAAGGTGGTCGACCGTGTACTAAGTCTAGGACTAATTCTGTAAAACAAATTTTGAATTTTGCCCATACCTAAAGATGAAGAAAGCAATTAAATCACTTAGTAAAAATGTATATGGTAATCATCCAAGTTAAACTGAAATAAAGATCATTTAAACAACAAATCGAGTCAATCATTCTATTCTCGGACGCCGAACAGTGCGCACCTCGCACAGCTAACCATAGCAGAGCGCACCCCGCAGAGCTAACCCTAGCAGAGCGCCACAAACCAGTCGTCAAGTCGGAGTCCATCTATATAAGACGGGCTGCCGGTCTCATTCCGTCATTCGATTATCCGACGCCGAACAGAGCACACCCCGCAGAGCTAACCGTAGCAGAGAACCACAAACCAGCCGATACCAGTCATGGAATCTGGCAGATCGATGCCAAATCACGACAATGGTGCAGACGGTAGCAAAGTCAAGCCTCCAAAAGAGCTATATTATAATGTTGAGATCTTACAGGAAAGGAGGATCTTAACTTAAAGTATATTCCAATTGAAATGGAAAAGGAAGAATTACATGCTTAATAAAGGACTCCGATAGAAATGGCGGAGAAACTTAAAAGAATTAATGACGAAACTATGATTGAAAAGACGTAGTGACGTAAACAGATAGCTTTATGATGGAACTAATGCTTATTATTAATAATCATACTTACAGACAGACTAAAGGAAAGGCCACGAAAAAACTGATGGACGAGTTATTGAAGGTGGATCCGGTGAAGTCTCCGAAGAAACAGGACGAGCCATCTAAAATGGAATTGGAGAAAGGAAAAGTTGCGAAAAAACTGAAGAACGAATTGTCGAAGAAGAAAGCTGAATTGGAAAAGACACGATTGGAAAAAGAGGAGTTAAATCACACACTGGCTGCAATGAGCCCGAGAATGAGTGATGATTTTGGCCAAGCAAGATCGGGTACGATGCGTGAGGAGCAGATCACTGGAAATGAGACACTACTAATGACGATGAACAAAATGTCTCTGGGTGGTCTGAACATTCCGAAGTGTATGCCTGCTGCGGGTGATACCGAGCTAAGCAAGAGAGCTTACGATCACTGGAAAAACGTCTTAAACGCTTCAATGAATCTTGTGCAAGCTGTAGATGAATCGAATAAGATTGATTTGTTCCGTATTAAGGCGGGTCCATTGCTCCTCGAATTGCTTGATGGCGTCACCACGCAGCAAGGAATGCCAGACGAAAATATGCTTCCATATTCAAACGTTATTGCTCGATTGGACGCGTACTTCGGTTCACGAACATATATCCTTTCTCAACGGAGTAAGCTGGCGAACACGGTTCAGAGGAACGATGAACTTAACATCCAATTCGCGAAGAGAGTGGCAGCAGCATCAAAACTATGTAACTATAAATCGGACGAAGAATTCGAAGCCATCTCCCGAGCTGTTACCAGAGGATCAACGGACAGCCGTGTGAGAACCCTTGCTTACCGGGTGCTCACTGACGGAGGAACCCTCAACGAGTTGATTGACCTTGTGCGGATTCGAGAAGTAGAGCTTGAAAATGAAGAAGACTATCAAAGGCTTCATCAGAAAAGGTCTGTCACAGTAGCAGCAATTACACATCGACCGACCGACTATGAACAGCGACGTCACTATGAACCGTCCAAGGGAAGCGGGAGCCGTGGTAGAGGAAATTTTTTTCGAGGATCAGCAAGAAATCAAAAGCCAGTGCAATCATGCTGGAGGTGTTTGAGCAGCTACCACACCCCAGCAGATTGTTTTCATAGTGATAAGGTATGTCGCAACTGCAACCGCCGAGAACATATCGTGCAAGTGAAGCAGGAACATCATAAACGCCGATGGACAGGAGAGGAAACTGAGCCTCCGAGCAAGATTGCTGTTATTGAGAAAAAGGAAGATGAAAACGAGCAATCAAAGGTAACAGAACATGATAATTAGTGATAACTTGCATTTTACTATTTTTAAATGTAACTTTCTTTTCTTTTAAAGATAATAATAAATTTAAAAAAAAATAATAAGAATATTAAAATAAGAATTTATATATATACATGGCAAATGATTTACGGGAATAAATTATATGTTACAGGAAATCGCAACTCAATCAACAGTTATGGAAAAGGCAAATATTAACAGAGTAGGATCTTGGGTACCAGAAGTAAAAGCAGCATATGTTGTGGCATATGTCGCAGGAATTAAAATTCAGTTTTTCATAGATTCTGGTGCACAAGTCAATACAATCACTCTGGAATCATTTGACGCTATCCTCCGAGATGAAACAGCTAAGCGTAATTTGCATGAGCTATGCTTTGAATCAGATAAAGTTCTTAAGGCATATGCATCAGAAGGAATTATTGACGTAGTAGCCACTTTTTCGGTGGAGCTCTTCGTTTCGAATGAAAGACCCGTTACTGTAGAAAAATTCTATGTAGTACGTGAAACAAGAGCCCTTCTAAGCTTCAATACTGCTATCAGATATAGTTAGACTAGATGTACCAGTGGAAGGATTTTCGGATACAGCCTGGCGATGTGAATTTGTTACCGTACACAGCATTCAAGAAACACAATTACAAGAGTTTCCAAAGTTCAACATACCACCAGTAACATTGAGCTATGATGTTTCGATGCCACCTTCAAGAAACGTTTATACGCAGAGTCGCGCACGGAACCCCTTTGGATACGGTTGTGTTTGTTCTCTGTTTTGTGCGTGCGTTCGCTTTCATAGTTTTCGGCTGCATTTGCGGGATTAGCGCTGGCACTCTGCCTCCCGGACGGTTATACGTGTGTGATTGGTGGTTTTCTCGCTTTCGAGAAAGAAAACGTGATTCATTATGTTTGCAAGCATCAGAAGATTTGGCGCTTTCTGCGTTGTTTGATTTTTTTTCTCCTGGACCAGATA